GTGTCTCTTCCTGCAGTTATAGGGACTGATATCTTTGATATGGATAAACCACTGGTTTTTACATATGAAGAAATTCTCTCCGCTACTGATAGATTCTCAGATGCCAACTTTCTTGGAGATGGAACATATGGTTCTGTGTACTATGGCCTCCTTCGTGATCAGGTCACTGTTTTATCTCCTTTGGCAATATTGTTGATGCATAATATGTAATTATTATTTTCGGCACATCTGACTGGGGTGTGAAAACCCAGGAGGTTTCAATCAAAAGAATGACTGCCACTAAAACTAGAGAGTTTATGGCGGAGATGAAAGTTCTGTGCAAAGTGCATCATACTAATTTGGTAAGGCACATTTAAATTTGATATGCTATACCCACTCCCTTCACTGATGTACTTAGAGCTTAGCCGCTTTTAACACTAAAACTGTTGACTCCATTCCTTGCTTTGAAAATGTCAAGGTAGAATTGATTGGTTATGCCACCAGTAAGGATGAGCTCTTCCTTATATATGAATATGCCCAAAAAGGCTCTCTTAGAAGCCACTTGCATGATCCTCAAAATAAAGGTCAGTTTTCTCTCTCATTTAAACATGAATTGAGGTTTTATTTTTATTTTCTGCTCATATTTGTGTGATTGGTGAAAGACATTAAACTATTTTTCTTCGGTAGCACATGTTGCTTTTTTCCATCATTTTCAATGGTGCCAAAGACTCACTTCTTTTTGGCTTGGGTATATGATGGAATAAAGCAAAATGGCTCACTAAACTGTCTGCGCTTCTTTGTTATGAAACAACAGTCAGTCCATGCAATTTTTGACGCGATTTCATCATGGGTCATCCGGAAACGGTCTATCCCTGCTTTAGTGCAGGGGTAAGGCTACGTACATCCGACCCCCTTACCCCACCGTAGGTGGGAGCCTTTGCGGCACTGGGGTAATGTTGTTCTTGTTGTTTTTGTAGCACATGTTGTTGCTTATATAGTTATATCCATGATACAGTTGAGAAGTAAGTCTAACCAAGATATATTAGAATATTATTCTAGTATGCTTTTTCTCATGAATCAGGACAACTCACAATAGCTTTATACTCTTGCTCATCAGCGCATGTTAATGTTGCAAAGATCACGAGTTATATTTATAACAAAAAAGTAGATTTCACAAATAAAGGAACAATAACATGCAATGTATTGTCTACTACTAAATCCTTAAAAATAAGTTAGTGAAAAATTGCATGTGAAAAATTCCAATAAGAGCAATGTCTGCTTTAATTTCATAAGTCATGGACATGATAGCCTTACCTCTTCTTCATCTGTACTTTTACATTATATGCATAGCAATTTAATAGTTTCAGTTCTGCCCTGTGGCAATATTTAGTATCTTCTTGGACAAATATGTATAGATTTGTTTTCAGTATGTGAATCCTATATTCCATAAAAATCTGAGCTGCATTTGCATGTGCATTAATGGATTGCTAGTAGTCGCATTGGGGCGAACTTATAGACTAAGACAGTTTGTGGCAGCTTCAAATATCATGAACTCTCTTTGATCCATCTGAACAGGTCATACATCGCTTTCTTGGATCATGAGGGTTCAGATTGCACTGGATGCTGCCAGAGGTTTGGAGTACATTCACGAGCACACCAAACCTCACTATGTGCATCGTGATATAAAGACTAGTAACATCCTGCTTGATGAATCCTTTAGAGCAAAGGTTCCGGGCCCCCTCCTTTCTCTCTTTTAGTGTTGTTGTCCCCAAGGTTAGTTTAACATCTAAAAACCCTTCACAGATTTCAGATTTTGGTTTGTCAAAACTTGTGGGGATAACTAATGACGGAGAAGCTTCAGTCACAAGAGTAGTTGGAACTTTTGGTTATGTTGCCCCAGAGTGAGTGAACACATAGTAACAGTGAACAATACACGTTGGAATTGGAAATCGCCAGTTCTTATTAGCTTGATGATCTGGCTGTTTTTCAGATACTTGAGGGATGGCCGGGCAACCACTAAGAGCGATGTCTACGCGTTTGGTATTGTTCTTTTTGAGATAATTTCAGGGAAAGAGGCTGTCAGTCCCACTGAGGGCACTGCTATTGCAAATGCCGAAAGGCGCTCATTGGTATCGATTGTAAGTCGTCGTATATTCTTTAGCAATTATCAAGACATGATTCTTACAACCTGTTTGTTAAGTACGAACTTGGGATCTTTTCCTTCCCAATTCTAATTCCTATTTGGGAGGAATTTCATAGTTTGTTAGAAAAGAACTAATATTCCAAAGGGATTCTTATACCTTGGATTGCAGGCAAGAAAGCTTCCTCACCCAACGAGTGCTTTCCTTTTCATTCCATTTGGGAAGAAATGATTAGTGCACTGACCCAAAACAGTCCCCCTATCACCTATTTACCTTAAACATCATTATTTCCTCTTTATTCTCATGCTTACCAAGTATCAGAATAAATACTCCAAGCAACTTTTGGCTACCAAACAATGGAATTTAAATTTACTCACCTCATCCTTTTCCCATGAAATTTAATTTTTTTCCACCTCTGCTCCTTTCCACGTAGCAAATGAGCCTTTATTGATGATTACAGATGCTGGCAGCTCTGAGAAATTCCCCGGACTCCATGAGCATGTCTTCCTTAAATGACTGTGCTGATCCTAACTTGATGAACTTGTACCCACATGATTGTCTTTACAAGGTACATACATAATTTGGAAATTTCATTTCACTGGCATTTCAGTTTATGGAAGGAGTATGCTGCAACTGGTTTGAATCTGCCAAGGTTACTCCACCTAAGAGCCAAATCCGATCCAGACAGTGGGTGGATAATTCCACATCGGAGTTGCTCCACTCGGTCCAATCTAGGCTAAAAGTATCCATAATAGCGATTGTAAAAATCGAAATCCACACATAGTCCACTATATGTTTCCATCATTTGCAATGGAGCCGAAGACACTATTTTTTGGCTTGGGAATATGATGAAATAAAGCAAAATGGCTCACTATACCGTCTGTGCTTCTTTGTTATGAAGCATGAGTCAGTTCATGCAATTTTCGACATGATTTTCACTATGGGTTATCCGGAAACATTCTCTCTGTGTTGTTTTAGTACAAGGGTAAGGCTGTGTACATCCAACCTCCCTACACACCGTAGGTGGGAGCCTTTGCGGCACTGGGGCGATGATGATGATGGAAATAGTCCACTCTATGCAGATAATTAACTAAATCAGGTTTCTCTTTGCTTTTTTAGCTAGCTACACTAGCAAGGCAATGTGTGGATGAGGATCCAATTCTAAGACCAGACATGAAGCAAGTTGTGATATCACTTTCGCACATCCTCTTATCCTCGGTTGAGTGGGAAGCAACACTTGCTGGGAACAGTCAAGTTTTCAGCGGTCTTGTTCAGGGAAGATAAGACTTGAGTGCTGCAATATAGTTTGTCTTCGTTTTACTCACTTTAATGTATAGTGTTGCAGCATCCATGATGGTTGCTCCTTTATGTGCCAACCTTGTCATTGTTCTTTGCCACTATTATGATCTTCATTTGTTGGAGCAGTGCATTCTTTGATTTCGTTTGCTGTATACATCCAAGGTTCAGAGTTAGAGGTCTGTGAGCACTTCTTTTCTGCAGGAGACCTAATTCACTTGTTATTTTTTGAAAGATGATCTTTTTTTATTCCTGAAATGAGTCGGACAATTAAAAATTTGTACATGAGTCTACAATTTCTCGGGATGGTTATTTGGTTGGAATGGAATGGAATGTAATTTGAATGACTGAATGCTATTACTCCAAAGCTATTCTTTCTCATTTTGGGGTATTACCCAGAATTGAACCACATTTCATGTTTTACTCGATACCAGGGTGAACTATTATTCTTATATATGCAGCCAAAATTGCTTCCCTTTAATATATCAATATGCTAAAGAAATGCCTCGACTAGGTTCTAGCCATTGTTATTTAGGTTCTAGTTTTTTGAAAGAAAAAATGTGAAATTATTTCAATTTAACCAATAATATGCAGCCACGGTCAATAACTTAAAATCCAATTATCTTTTAACATATTCCATCTAGATTCAAGGAAAGACATATGATCAGATTTTGAGACAATCACCTCCAAAGAAGCAGTGTGAATTGTTAAACATCATATGCGCAACATAGAGTTCTTCTTGACCTGTAAAGTTATCATACTCTACTACATTAACAAATTCAAAATAGTCGAAAGGTCCCTTCAGTCCCTCATTAGACATAAAAAAGTTTACAAGAGCTTCAAGGAAAATGAGTGTCATAAGCTCCTTAAAAAAGTCACTATCACAAACAAATAAAAACAAAGTAAAAAGTCTAAGAAACATAAATAAAGGTGAAATGAAATATAGAGCAATAAATTGGGTGCGGTTAAAATCAAATTTGAAGTGGCCTCTTCCAAACTCTAGCGACAAATTCCCTCCATGGTGTCGGTTCAGGAGGGGATGGACGGTGGACCAGCAATACTGCATCTTCTTCCTCATCCCGTTCCTTGTTCATAACATTCTCTGTCATGCCTTCACTTTCAGCACCAAAAGCACGTCGCCAAAGACCAATTGACATCTCCTTGCCACCAGACGCACAACCCTATTTGGTGATTGCTGGAATTGAATCATGACGCGATGGGTTGTGCGTCTCGTTACAATCTGTCCGAGCCCCAATGTTACAAAATTCGTTGTCAATGGTGAATGTGCACCCCCGTAACACCAAAGCTAGGTTCGTCTGGCACTACGTTTTCTCTACCCGCCTACAATGGTTAAAACCTAATCTGTATTAGTTAGGTTCCAGTTTGATAAAGGGTTGATTTAATTAATCAATTAAATTGTTTATTTTTGGGAAAACCGTGAAATAAGTTTTTTTACTATTGCGAAAAATGAAAATCAAGTGCTCGTATTAAATAATCTCTTAATTAAATCCCCAAATTTGAAAAACATTTAATAAAACTTTTTAGCCGGTTACTTATGGATTAACATGTGAATCACTTCCATGGGTGCATATGTGACATTATTTTCTACTTTTTTGGTCTAGTCAAATTATAATATTACTAATCTTCATGTATCCTAGGATCTGACCTAGCCGGCCTTCTAGTGCGAAGGTCCATCCAGTGGCTAGACAGAGAGTAAGATTTCCTTTTGAGTAAATTTTATTCTGCGGCAACCGGTAACATTGTAAAAAAGTCACCATCTTCGTAGCTGATGAAACTGTAGCACCGAAGATGCAGGAACGGTGACAGACCAGAGATGCATGAATCCCGACGGACCGGAGCATCGGCGATTGGGCGACCAGGTGACCCTCGAACGAATCAGATTGCAGCTAGAGGGAACCTGCTCTTGGTCAGACTGCATCGATGGAGGAACTCTGCTCTTCGCGATGATGGTGACGGTGAAGGTCGCAGCGATGAGCGGGTAGGCAGGGCCGGTCCTAGGGGGCAACGGGGGCGACCGCCCTAGACCCGAAAAAATAGCAAAAAAAAATAGGTCCAAATTTTTTTCTTTATATATAGCGTTAGTAGGACTCTTTTTTGTATTCTTTTTTTGAATAATCTTTTTTTTATAATCTTTTTTGTATTTTAAAACTCATTTAATTAGGCCCATGATTTAATTTTGTTCATAATTTTAAAATTATAAAAGAAACATTATAAAAAATTATAAAAGGAATGTAATGTGTCCCTCCCAATCCCCAGTGGCCCAATAACCCAAATCCCTAAACTACCTAAGTACCTATTACGTACTCCGTATTACCGAACACTTCAAATTCTCCCATCTACCCCATCCCAATTCCCAAACATTAAACTCCCAAATCCCAATAAGGCAATAACCCACTTGGCCGGCCACTTCATTGTTTTTTTGTTTTGTTTGTTTTCAATTTTGAAATCAAGTAACGAAGATTCAATTGTTCAAGGTTGCCTAAGTGATAACTGATTGAGAAGGTTTCAAATCGACTGGCGTTCGGTTGTTACGGCAAGGCGCAAGTCTTCAATTTTTCAAGTCTGCCAATCAATCCAGGAACGGAGGAGGCGAGGAGCCCAAAGGTCGGCCGGTAATTACAAATTTACAAGTCTAGAACACCTTCTTTCAACTTTCAAGGTTTCAAACAATCTGTCAGTCACCAGTGGTAAGTAAATTAATCTCAATCTATTAGAATTTATTTTGATTTATGATTGATAATTTATGATTTATCCTTGCAATTGCAATTTGTATATAAGAAAATGTTTTTGTTATATGATGCATTTTTATTGTCTTGTTAAATTGATATCTGTGTGCTATTGGCTATGGACCCTATCGTGCAATTTTGAATTGTTTTATTGTTTTTTTACGATTGTGAAGGTGCTCGATAAAATGGGTGAATCTGGTTGGGAAAAAGAGAAAAAGAGGCAAAGATTAGATAAGGCAGCCTTAAGTCAAAAGGGGGCAATGGAAAAATATGTTTTCGTCAAGAAGTTGAATCCTGAAAATTCTTCTCAAGTTGAATCGCCGTTAAATTCTTATGCGAATGAAAATAATAACACGCCTGGGAATAATGATATTGGTACAGAAGTCGCAAATGTTGAAACTGAGCCAGATAAATGTGATTTAGGTGAAGAAAATAAATCAGTGATGGGTCATTTTTCAGTGATTGATATATAAGATCCTGTTTATTGGGGGAACCTTGATGCCAAAATGAAAGATATTTTAGTTGAAAAAGGACCTGTAAGGGAAACTCAACTAAATTATCCTCTTGATGCCAAGTTTAGACATTTTTCAAATGCCTATTATACTAGGAACATGAAAAATAAAGAAAGCGAAGATAGACAATGGCTAGTGTGTTCCAAAAAAGTGGATAAAGTCTTTTGCTTTTGTTGCAAGTTGTTTAAAACAAAAGAAGGTCCCAATCATTTAGCTAATGAAGGAACTAATGATTGGAAACATCTTAGCGAAAAGCTTTCTATCCATGAAAAAAGTGTTGAACATTTTACTAATGTGCAAAGATGGATGGAACTAAAGATGAGATTGTCAAAACAAAAAACCCTTGATTCGGCTATTCAGGAAAAATTAGCAAAAGAGAAGCAGCACTGGAGGGATGTTCTTAAGAGGATAATAGTTTTAGTAAAGACTCTTGCTAAAAAATCACTTGCCTTTCGTGGAAGTAGTGACAGACTTTATGATGAAAAAAATGGCAATTTTTTAGGGTTCATTGAAATGATTGCAGAGTTTGATCCCATTATGCAAGAACATGTGAGGCGCATCCAATGTAGTGAGATTCACTATCATTATTTGAGTCACAAAATTCAAAATGAATTGATTCTGAGGTTAGCATCGAGTGTGAAAAGTACAATTGTTAATGAAATTAAAGCTGCGAAGTACTATTCAGTTATTCTTGATTGCACACCCGACTCAAGTCACAGAGAACAAATGACTCTAATCATAAGATGTGTGAATATGTCATCAGGCAAAGCAGAAGTTGTTGAATATTTTTTGGAATTTCTAGAAGTACTAGATACAACTGGATTGGGGCTTTTTGGGGAATTAGAGCGTGTGTTGATTTCATCTGAGCTAGATATTGATGATGTTAGAGGACAGAGTTATGACAATGGGTCTAACATGAAAGGTAAGCATCAAGGTGTTCAAAGAAGACTACTTGATATGAACCGGAGAGCTTTTTACATGCCATGTGCTTGTCATAGTCTAAATTTAACAATTTCTGATATGGTTAAATCTTGTTCAAGGGCGGTTACTTTTTTTGGATGTGTTCAGAAATTGTATACACTATTTTCTGGTTCAACAAAAAGATGGGCAATTTTGAAAGAGCATTTAGAGGGCTTAACTTTGAAGTCATTGTCCACCACACGTTGGGAATGTCATGTGGAAAGTGTTAAAGCAATTGTAACCCAAACTTTGCAAATACGAGAAGCTTTGATTGAACTGGGAAAAGATTGCACTAATTATTCGTCTAAAAATGACGTTAAAAGTGTGCTGAAACAAGTAGAAAAGTTTGAATTCTTATTGGGCATGGTAATATGGTATGATGTTTTGCATCCCATTAATAAAGTCAGTAAATTATTACAAAGTGAAGATATGTGCATGGATGCTTGTATAGTAAATATGAATGCTTTGATTATTTATTTAAATAAGTATCGAAATGAGGGGTTTGAAGATGCAATGAGTAGAGCAAAAGGTATTGCTCTAGAATTGGGGCTTGAACCTTGTTTTCCTGAAAGGCGATCGATCCGGAGGAAAAAACACTTTGATGAAGATAAAGAAGATGATGAAGATAAGTCGCCTCAAGATGCTTTTAAGTGTTTTTATTTTAATGTTGTAATGGATGCTTGTTTGGTTTCTCTGCAAAGTAGATTTGATCAGATGAAGGTTTTTCAAGGTATTTTTGGGTTCTTGTTCAATTCAAGGAACTTGAAATCATTGGATTCTGATAAGTTGATAGATTCTTGTAAGATACTTGCAGAAGCTCTACAAGATGGTGAAAAGGAAGACATTGATATGGATGATTTATTTCAAGAATTGAAAATGTTGCAAAATATTTTACCGGATGATAGGGACACAGCCATTAAAATTCTTGATTTTGTGAAGAACTTGTGTTGTTATCCGAATACAACAATTGCTTACAGAATACTGTTGACAATACCTGTGACCGTTGCCACAGCGGAGAGAAGTTTTTCAAAGTTGAAGATACTGAAGAATCATTTGCGATCGACTATGTCTCAAGAAAGGCTGAATGGATTAGCAATTTTAAGCATTGAGCATGAAGTCTTGGAAAAGGTTGATTATGAAGCAATTATTGATGATTTTGCTTCACAGTGTTCGGCGAGAAACGTTTTTAAGTAATATTTTTCTTTTTATGTGATACTTGTTACCTTTCATCAAACATGTTATTTAAATATTAATAAAGTGAATTTCATCTTTATTTTTTTACCTTTATTCAATTATTCGATAGTTTTATTATAATCTATGTTTAGCTTATAAATTTAGACCCAACTTAGCTTCTCGCCCATAGGCCCACAAAATGACAGGACCGACCCTGAGTGTAGGTAGAGCGATGATGCCGATAACAAAGGATTCCACGTGCGCAAGGTGTAAAAGAAGCCCCAAAGTTCATATTAATTTAAAAAATATTCGGTTGTAGCATCCGCAAGGTGTAGTCGTATAATATAATTTGCCCGTGTTAACAAGCTAACTTGTTACTAATAGGCTAAAAAGATTTTTTGAGTTTTTTTTTAAAGTTTGAGAATTTCATTATATGATTATATAGTGTAAGGGCTTAAATGTTGTTTTTGCAATAGTATGATAGCTTATTTGGCATAGGCATGTAAAAAAACGGCGAGACCCACCCCGCCCCAAGACATTTGGGGCGGGTCCGCCCTACCCCGTTTTGCACATGGGACGGGTCCGCCTGTCCCGTACATACAATGGGGCGGGTACGTGTATTAGTATTGACTCGTACCGCCCTGCCTCGCCCTGCACAATATATAAACACACACATATATGTATGTATGGTTGAGTAGTGATTAATGAATTCCTTGATCTTTTAACATATTACGTAGTAATATTTATATTTTGAATCAGGTGAAAGGACGAAAGGTTAATCGTCAATTTATTTTGGCTCAAGGGTCAAATAGGTACATGAACTAACTTAAAGTGTTCAATTAGCCCCTTATTTAGGAGGTTCTGTCTGGCCGTCGCCAATTGGGGAGGTTCCCGATGGATTTTTTTGATGAAATTTTTTTAGCATCTTCTTCATTAAGTTTAGTTTACCGATATCAAATTTCAGCTAAAACTTAAATCGGGAAGGCAGTCAAATATTTTTCCGAAATGTACTGCGCTGTTAACTGCGCAGTTATCTTCAACAAATCATTTGACTGCCTTTCCGGTTGAATTTTTAGCTGAAATTTGGTATGGATAAACTAGACTTAATGAAGAAGATGCTCAAAATATTTTATCAAAAAATTCCACCGGAAACCCCCCCAAATGGCGACGGCCGAGCAGAACCTCCTATATGAGGGGTTAATTGAACACTTTAAGTTAGTTCATGTACCTATTTGACCCTTTAGCCATTTATTTTTTATATTTAGCATTTATATATTTGTTGGGTTAATCGTCCAATGGGGGTTGGCCCATAAACCCCTAAGGCTCATGCGGACGAACGTCCCCAGAAGGCCCAAGACAACGGGATACCCTTCTGATTATCCAGAGGACGTACGTATCCTAGCGTAGGCAGGTACCTTGGCCCAGGGGCAGCGACTGACGCACGTCTAGCACGACTTGGCCCAGCAGGAAACCAGAGGCAAGCCCATGGGGACGAACGTCCTCAGAAGGCCCAAGACCACGGGATGCCCTCCCGATTATTCAGGGGAGGTACGTCTCCCAGCGTAGGCAGGTACCTTGGCCCAGGGTCAGCGGCTCACGCACGTCTCGCATGACTTGGCCTAGCAGGAAACCAGAGGCAAGCCCATGGGGACGAACGTCCTTAGAAGGCCCAAGACCACGGGATACCCTCCCGATTATCCAGGGGACGTACGTATCCTAGCATAGGCGGGTACCTCGGACCAGGAGCAGCACGAGAAGCACGTCTCGCAGGACTTTGGGCCCAGTAGGAAACCGGAGGCAAGCCCATGGGGACGAACAACCTCAGAAGGCCCAAGACCACGGGATACCCTCCTGATTATCCAGAGGACGTACGTATCCTAGCGTAGACAGGTACCTCGGCCCAGGAGCAGCACGAAACGCACATCTTGCAAGACTTTGGGCCCAGCAGGAAACCAGAGGCAAGCTCATGGAGACGGACGTCCCCACCCCTGGCGGACAGCCAAGATTCTGACGGGATTCTGCATTTAATACAGAAGATTTGATGGTTGCACATTTATTGCAGAAGATTTGGTGGTTGGGATCCAAGCCAACCACAACCCACCACATCAGCATGCTCAACCACCATTGTGTAGTATAAATAGAAGCATTTATTTCATTGTAAGGGGTCTTCTTCTTCCCCACTTCCTCATCCTTCTCTCCATAATAAATAGCTAGCTTATAACCTCCATTGCAGAGAGCTTCATACTTGTACTATGTAAATGTAACACTTGAAATGTAATTTAAACGGATTAATAGTACTACTCATACCAACAAGATGCATCTCCTTTTAAGGGAGCTCATCGCCCAAGAACTCCAAAGTTAAGTGTGCTGGCACGGGAGTAGTCTTGGGATGGGTGACCCCCCGAGAAGTTTCTCAGGGCGCGCACGAGTGAGGACAAAGTGCGCGTGGAAGGCTCGTGGCGGTTTGTGAGGACAGTACTAGAGGTCAGGAGTAACTACTTCGGGTCCTGCGACGTCGGGGTGTTACAGATGGTATCAGAGCAACCCTGCGACAGTGTGCTGATCCGTTGGATATCGGGCAGGCACTTAGCGAGGCAAAAGATTCTAGGATTTGATTGAGATTGGTTTATGGGCGCAACGAGGACATTGCGTTCCTAAGTGGGGGTGATTGTAACACTTGAGATTTAATTTAAATGGATTAATAGTACTACTCATACCAACAAGATGCATCTCCTTTTAAGGGAACTCATCACCCAAGAACTCCAAAGTTAAGTGTGCTTGCACGGGAGTAGTCTTGGGATGGGTGACCCCCTGAGAAGTTTCTCAGGGCGCGCACGAGTGAGGACAAAGTGCGCGTGGAAGGCTCGTGACGGTTTGTGAGGATAGTACTAGAGGTCAGGAGTAACTACTTCGGGTCCTGCGACGCCGGGGTGTTACAATAAATGGTGAGGAGAGCCTAATAAAATGAGAGGGCTTGGACATTAGCCTAAACAGTCCCGTAGTTTTCTCCCTTTCTGGGTTTCCACGTAAAAATAGCTTGTTTCTACATCTACATCGATACTTCTTCCATTCGAAACCCTTGGGTCATGTGTTGGGCCTACGGGTTGAATGAATAAACCTCAACACTGACGTCGTCTGTGGGAATCTTGTTCAAAAAGATTTCACGTGTTCTTAATATTCTGCAAAAAAACATATGAAGGTCTGGATTTCAGCAAAGAAGGAAGGAAAATGCATAGATCTGGGGAAATCTGGGGTTTTCCAGATCGCATGTTGACCTTGAGGCTGGTAGTTTTCCACCATTAATGGCGGTGCAGAGCTCAACTCGCAAATCTGGCAATAGCTCTCTTGCTTGAGCCGTACAACAACGTGGGAAGAAGCAAAATAAAGGATGGCCATTTCTTTGAGGAAATTTGACGAAGTCAAAATTGGGGAGTTCCAACACAAGCCTAGGCCGAGGTTCTCTACGGCTTGGACCTGTACTTTAACTTGTGTGGCTGAATAATTGAAGTCCGATTCTTGAGCAAGGTTGTGAAAGACTTTGACCAAGTCAAAATTACAAGAAGGAACCAAGTCAAACTTCTCAAAATTCCCAAGGAAAATTTTACAGTGCACTCACGTTTCCGAACGTTTTGGTGCATTTTCCAATTGGCTTCATCCTATTGGTTACTCATTCCAACTCACACACATCAAAAAAGATAATTTAAAATTTCATATTTAGTCCTTGGTTCCTTTTGTGATTTTTGTTTTCCGATAGCAAATAAACCGGGCGAGGGAAATTAGTTGAAGGATCTTCCATTTCCAGGGTTCCTTCTCGAGAGCAGATAAATGAGAGAAGCCAAAAGGATCTTCCATCCTCCTGCTTCTCAGATTGAAAGCAAATAAACGAAAGGATCGTCCGTCCTTGTTTTCCGATCGCAAGCAAAGAAACCAGAGCGAGATAAATGGGGATCTTCCATCCTCCGCCAGGTTTTCAGTGAATTCTTTTACCACGGTGTTCTCATCCCACAACAGCGCAGAGCCACTTCATGGTTAAATCCACTGCGCGGTAAGTTCCATCATCTCTAATTCGTTCAATTGCACACATTTTGATTTTTAATTGGTCTTCCCTAATTTGCATTTTGAATTATGAACTTTGTTTTCAGTTTAGTTGAACTTCAAATTGTATTTTATAGTTTTAAATGAGATTATTATGAGCTTCATGAGTTGTGGTTGGGCTTGTTATGAGCTTGATGAATTTCCCAAACTGCTTAATCAAGGCACGTTTTTTGTCAGGAAGTAAGAATGTAGTATAAATTTTATTGTGATCTAAATGACTTGTTAAGAGAAGTATATGCAATAGACTCCATGGTTAAGTACTGGCTATAATTCATATGGAATTAGCACTACAGTACGATTAAATTTGTGTGTGTAAATCATCAACTTTAAGCCATGAAATTCACAAGGGCCATTACTATGTTATTACCCAATCGAAACTGTAATAAAAAAAATTGTTCCTGCTGAAGGGGGAGACCAAGTTACCTTGTTCTTCTTGTCGAGACACCAATAAACCTATCTACTTTAGCAAATCCAGGAAATGGGGCTACAAATGGAGCCTAAAAAATGTTTAGTTGGAGGGACTGATGATTTTTTACTAGTTTGTGTTTATTTTCTATTAGTTGATGTTAGATCTTAAACAACTACATGATTATAAGATCACATATTTCCTTATAGTTTTTATCTTCCCTGTATTTGCAATCACCTTTTGTTCTACATAGTTTCTTTCTAAAGGAATAAGCGTAATTATAATTTTTATGGGAGAGGTATTTACGGGAAGAGATTAATGTTTGATAGAGAGAAAATTCCTGCAATAACCTTAGAGTAGAATGGTGAAGTTCTCCCGAATTTGTAAAGCACATTAGTTAGTAATAAGGTAAAGCACTTTTTAGGCACTACGACAACTGTGGAGCCCTTACTCTCTTTTTGCTACCAAAGTTACCTGTGTTAAAGTTGCAATGCCAAATTTTAGTATGCTATTGCAAAACTGCTCAAGGATGAATCCTTTGCTACAATTTTCTTTCTTTGTATTTCCAGCTTTAAAAAGTAGTGGCATGGGGTATCCATTTTGAATGAGTAAAAACCCAGCTTTTAGACACAAAATGTAAACCAACCATAGCTTCTCTCTCAGTGAGTATTAAGTCACTAATTTCATCATTTATTATTGTAATCAATCCATGTAGCCAGCATCCCCCTGCAGCAATGGTAACTGGTAAGTGCACGGATATGATGCAAGACACAAATGAAGTGAAACCATATAATTATGGGTACAAATTACAATAATGGGTACATGTGTAAAGTAGTTAGCACACAAGAAGTTAAGGTCTTTCAGTTCAGATGTATTTAGATTTATGTCTTCTCCCATTCTTCATATAGTTGTCTAACCAAACTTTGAAAACGCCTCTTTTTAGTAAACAAATTGTTAAGGTCGTTTGGTTAAAGTATCATTTGTTTGTTCAGATCTGGGATTTGCGGTTTGACTATTAAGAATTATTTCATTTGAATTTTTTGATGAGTCCAGGAGTTGATAACGTTGTGGAAACTATAATCTTGAGTCCATGAGTTGATAACGTCGTGGAGTCAACTGTAATCTTCCCTAACTAGGGCAAGACTGCTATATGCTTGAAGGTTTAATATTATTCTCTTCTACGAGAGTATATCTTTTGTACTTGTGTAATTGAACAACATCCATTGATTCATACATCCTGTTGATGATCACCTCTCTAACTGCTCAAAATGGCAATATACTATGTTTGTAATAAAATAAGACATTATTATGGACAGTTCACATCTAATGTTACAAAAAAAACTGTAAGACTTAAGCACGCTAAATAACATTCTTTAGGGAAATTCCAATGAACAGATAATTCCTCTTTTTGGGCAATACAAATAAAAAGTTTGGGGGGGCTGCTGCAAACGAGGGTGAAAAGTTCATTCAGTCATGAAGGCAGTTTTCGATAGGTAAATACTACCAATAATTTCAGTTGCATTCAGTCACATGAATAGAGATATATGCTAATAAGAAGAGGAATTTGTTTACATAACAATGATTTTCTTTGGTTTTAGATTTTTAGGACATCTCTGCTTTTCAAAGATCACAAAGTTCTGTATTGCTGTATATTCTGTGTATTTCCTCCGCTCCGCGTCAATGATGACTATTGCTCTCAACATAAGTGATATATCAATCAAGTACGGTGTTCCCTTTGTTTATGCAGCACACTGATGGAGTCATGTTGGAATTATAATTTTGCTCTCTATTCTTAATAGATATTGTGTTGTTAGCCTTACAGATTGCACTTCACATCTACCATTTCCTATTGGCTCTCCTACTGGCTCTCTCTTCTCAAGTCAATAATGTGCCAACCAATGCCAATTCAGAAGCAACATTAGCGTTGATTAATTATTTTTAAACTTTGGATGTTCTAAAATGATCACTCGTTTTTGTTTTTGTTTTGTTTTTGAAACTAATGATCCTTTTGCTGCTCCTCAGTCCTCACCATGTACTTGGAATCATAGTCCATGGTCTATAAAGTATAAACCAACCAATTAGAAAAGTATCACACTTGTGCTTCAAGTGTTGGTGATTCATTTTTTGGTTGAACATAGTGAAATGACTTGAATGAATCTTTGGACTTGCAGTGTCACTTCTTGTTAGTATATTCAAGGAAATAATATATAAAGAAAAAATCTCTCTTTTCTCTTAGACACATGATTTCTAATTGGATGGGATAACTGATCTTAGTTATCAATTATCATAGGTGCAAACATAATATTACCCTAAGCACAATTGGAAAATGTCACCATTCAAATAAAGAGAAAAGGGCAAGGATCAAATTGGACAACATTCATCTTGATGAAATATGAATGCCACGTACTAACAAAATTACATTCTTCTTACACTCTGAGATATAAGTATCCTCATGAGATTTTTGGAGATTTTTGATATTCCGTTAAATATTCCTTTTCCTTTGCTTTTTGTACCTAAAAACTAAAAACAATTTATTTCATGTATTTAGATTTAGAATATATAATTAGATGTACCAATTAAGAAAATCCATTATAATGTAACTGGATTCTTTTTTCATTAAACCAAATTTAACAAATTGATATTTCTCAAAGTTCACTTAAATTAAGAGTGGTGAATCTGGTGATAGTCATAATTACAACGGTCTTCTTGCGGAAAACATTAGATAAATTACTTCTAGTTTTGCTAGCATTACTTTTTCTCATATTTAGCATTACTTTCTCTCATATTAGGGGATCTGCTGACCGGGTTGCTCATTTGTTAATTAAAGCGATATGTTCTTTGTTTGATAGTCGTTCTTGGTTTGATATTCCTTCAGGATGTATTACACACATTTTGGATGCTGATTTTACAATGGAAGTTAACTTTATTATTATAAAAAAGTCAATTCTTAAATATAAGGATTTCTTAAGTAAAATTGAATTACATGTTCTAAAACATCTAATTACACCAATAAAGTTAGTTTATTGACATCAGAAAAGGAAGTGAAAAATAAAACTTTCGATTTTTATTAATGAAAGGAGAGAATCGTAAGTGTGTTCAACAACGACAGACTATGAAACCTTAGTGGCCAATATGAGATTCACATAAAATCATGTTGTTCAACTTGATTCACTTGAAACCTTAGTGTCCAATATGAAATTTACGTGTAATCGTATTGTCCAATTTAATCTTGCTTTCTAAAGAGAAATTATTATAACATCCGGAAGACTCAATTAGTAAAATCAAGTAAGACTGGATGTTGAAATATTTTTTATTGGATAATGTAGTAAACCGTAATGATTTGGAATTTAGGGTTTCTTGTACGTTGCACGGTAGAAGAGCTGCAAATTAGTTAAAAATAAATTCAACGAACAATGAATCGGAAGTACAATATCACCTTTGTATAACCATTAAGATTGATAAGAATATGTATGTGATCTTTAATTTGTTAATCATTTTTTCTATCATTTTAGATAACATGGATGATACATCAATGAAATGCTCAACTTTGGACTGGACCCACAGTCTCCATTCAGTACCATGAAGCATACATCAGAGGAGCACTGAATTTACAAACTTCAAAACTTTCTCTATCATGCATTCAAAATACAGATCTCATTAAGTGTGATCATGGGTGGTTGCCAAAAAAACTAATAACATATCTGACAGAAGAATACACACAAACACAATATAGAACCTCAAGTCCTTCCAATGGTTCTGCCAAAGAAAATAAAACAACAAAAAAGTATAATCTAATAAACATCTCCAACCCACTATCGACTGTTCTTGCCACTGCCCTTAATGGGAAATGGAGGAAGATGGCTAAAAGAAGGAAGCAAACAGTGAGATGTAATTAAGGAGCAATGTTGGGCATACTTTTGACTGCATGCATAAAAAAAACAGCTCAAGTATAGAATTATTCCAAACCAAAAAGAGCAAGAAGAAAAGGAATTCACCTGATCTCTAAAACAAGTAGTGGGTCAAGAGGATATACAATTTCACTCGTTGATTGTAAACTTGGCAAAACTGACATCTGGAGGGGCTGGATGCAAGATAAAAGTATCATTAGCCACATGGATGTCACGATGTAACCAATGTGCTTACAAGCTACTGGACATAAATATTACAGGTTTAGACTACAGAGTATGGAATAAAGAAGCTAGACGGACCTTGATATGATTCTAAGTATTCCCTCAACTTCAAAAAAATCTTCTATCGATCATCACAGTCACAAGCGCACATCAAATGCAATACCAGAATAGGAAAAAATGACAACCACATTTAGAGAAAGTCATAAACTAACCTCTGCATTCAAAAGTAGAACAAACATATTTTTCCTGCATTTATTGTTTAATTAACAAGGTCAAATATGAATGTAGGCATATGCAACTCATTGAGAACTTCATGATGCCATACAAGAAATATTTAATCCATGAGAAAAGAATTCTAATATAACCCGTAAAAGAGAGATTGTGTAGGATGCAAATGTTTTCCATTATTAACAAAATCAGTCCATAAACTGAAATGAAAAATCATGATAATCATTATAACAGACAACGATTAGCCCAATATGAAGTAAATACTTTAGAAATGATAGAAATTTTAAGGAGTTAAAAATGTAAAATAAAAGAGAAACTTACCGAGCGTAGTTGACATTTGGTCTGGGCGACCGGTCAGCTAAGATCATACATAAGGTTTGCAGATGAGGAGGAGGCGATTGAACTGTAAAGTCGAATGGGAATGACAGAAGGGGGAAATCAGGAAGAACAAACTCCATCCGGTGCCATCATAAGATTTTTCTCAATAAATCTTCATGGCTAATGCTTTCATTTCGTCGGATTGTTCTGTCGCAGAGTCTTCCGGAGAGGGAATTTTTGTGTAAAAATAAGAAATCCAATCATGCAGCAGCCCAAATTGAGAAGCGGTGAAACATCGACTAGGCGTTCCCTGTTGCTCCGATCCGCGGCAACAAAAAGAAATGTTGTAACGGGGTGGATGAACACTCATAGATGCCATCAGGTGCCACGGGATTTGAGCTTTCATGGAATGAAGGGGTGGTCTCCTGACGGATGAAATTACAAGTATCATGTAGTCCAGGGATCATTTGGCAAATTTGGAAATTTTTAAATGAGCATATGACGTGTAACATATATCAAATAATATAAGGCCGTGTGTTGAATGCACCAAAACATTCCATGAAGCAAGTGCACCGTAGAGCTTCCCCATTCCCAAGTGGTCGAACGTGTATTCCGGAGCTAAGTGCCATACGTGTTCTCTCATTTACTTATTGACTAAGCATTGAATTAATATTGTTATTACTAGTATTTTTATCACCATTATTTATTATTGTTATTTATCACCATTAAAATATCCCAAAATTTAATAATGTCGAGCAAAGCTCTTGTGATAAATTGCACCGTTATATTTAAGCTAGGTGATGAGCCGAGCCGAGGATCATCGTACCCCTAGGTCGGTGGTCTCGCCCGGAAGTGCCCCAACCCCATTTTGTTGCGTTACGATGTTCTCTGTGCAGATTAAGATCATAATCGGGGACAGATGATGCTCAGAACGAACCGAACGAGAGGTGTCGTAGTGGAGACGAGCATCCTCCACTCAGAGGGCAAGGGCTAGGAGACGAGCATCTCCACTTCAGAGGCAAGGTCCTGGAGATGAGCATCTCCACTTCTGAAGCCAAGGGCCTGGAGGCGAGCATCTTCTACCCAGACAACCAAGGGCCTGGAGACGAGCATCTCCACCCACGCAGCATGATCGGCCCCTCAGCATAAAGAGAGGAGAGGGGCACTAGGTGATAAACCTGTTCTTCATCAAGATCATCGGCCTCGCGTAGCATAAGACCCAGGGGCAGCACGGAGGACCGGTAAGAAGGTGGTCGAATGAAGACGAAGACCCCTCAAAAAAGGAGAGGGGCACTTATACCTGTTCTTCATCAAGATCATTGGCCTCACATGGCATAAGACCCAGGGGCAGCACAGAGGACCGATGAGAAGATGGTTGAGCGAAAAACGAAGAGGATCCGAGGTGACATACCTGTTCTTCATCAAGATCACCGACCTCGCGTATCATAAGACCCAGGGGCCGCACGGAGGACCGGTGAGAAGATGGTTGAGAGAAAAGCGAAGAGTCCTAGGTGATATACTTGTTCTTCATCAAGATCATCGGCCTCGCGTGGCATAAGACCCAGGGGCAGCACGGAGGACCGGTGAGAAGATGGTTGAGCAAAAAACGAAGAGGATCCTAGGTGATATACCTGTTCTTCATCTGGGTCATCGGCCTCATGTAGCATAAGACCCATGGGCCGCACAGAGTACCAGTGAGAAGATGGTTGAGTGAAAAATGAAAGATCCTAGGTGATATACCTGTTCATCATCAAGATCATCGGCCTCGCGTAGCATAAGACCCAGGGGCCCCACGGAGGACCGGTGAGAAGATGGTCGAACGAAAACCAGCAAATCCTAGGTGATATACATGTTTCTTTATCAAGATCCTCGGCCTCGCGTAGCATAAGACCCAGGGGCAGCACGGAGGACCAGTGAGAATGGTTGAGCGAAATTAGAATATTGGTCGCCTCGTTAACAATACGGAAGGCAAATCAGAACAAAAGAGATACACCAAGCAGAATACAAAGGGAAGAATCAAAACTTGACCGCTGCCCGAAGGAACCATTTGCTACACAGTGGCGACGTACGACTCCAATGCTCGGGGCACCTGGGACAACTAGCCAACGCATGTGGAACCATTTTCCTGGAGACGTCCGTACTCACCACGAGATGAATGCCGAGTACGGACGCAGAGGATAAACCCGTTCTCCATCAAAGAACACTAACTAGTGCGGTACGGCCTCAGGACCTAAGCTGCCGGTGCGGTGGAAGGTGGACGAACGTACGGCCAGGAAATCTCGAAGAGGATAAACCTGCTCTCCATCAAAGAACACTAACCAGTGCCGTATGACCTCAGGGCTTAAGCTGCCGATGCGGTGGGAAGGTGGATGAACGTACGACCGAGGAATCCTGAAGTGGATAAACCCGTTCCTCACCACCACGTAGGCCTAGCTCAGCTCGGCCCCAAGGTCCTAAAGTAAAGAGCAGGTACGGTGAGAGGATGATGGAACAAAGAACAAAGGAGTCCCCAGAGACAAAACAACAGAGAATACCTTTGCTCTAGATGAGGCGACGTACGTCCCCAACGGCTGCCAAGGCCCGTTCACATAGATGGCTGGGTATGGAGAGCGAGTGAATAAGGCAAGAAGCCTGGAGATCCGGAATATAGCAAGAAACCATCGCATCAGGGGCGTCAGCTAAATGCAGTACGGCGGAAACAACTTTACTTCTTCATGTCCCGCGCATGCTCGGAACATCAGAAGTGGGGGGCTTGTGTTGGGTTAATGGCCCAACAGGGATCGGCCCATCGACCCATTAAAAGCCCACCGGACGTTCGTCCCCTAAGCCCAAGCATCCTGGTGAGACCCCTGGAAACATCCCAAGGAAGAGAAGAGTGTCGTCCCCATAGGGTATGTTCGGCCCCAAGGTACCAAACCCGGAAAGGCAAGGAGTTGCAGGGGACTTACGTCAGGAGACACAGAGTGGCATATCAACTTGGGAGGCGCCAAGGGCTCGGAACATCGGAACATCGGAAGTGGGGGACTTGTGTTGGGTTAATGGCCCAATGGGGTTGGCCCATAAACCCTTAAGGCTCATGTGGATGAACGTCCCCAGAAGGCCCAAGACAACGGGATACCCTTCTCATTATCCAGAGGACATACGTATCCTAGCGTAGGCAGGTACCTTGGCCCAGGGCAGTGGCTGACGCACGTCTCACACAACTTGGCCCAGCAGGAAACCAGAGGCAAGCCCATGGGTACGAACGTCCTCAGAAGGCCCAAGACCACGGGATACCCTCCCGATTATCCAGGGGACATACGTATCCTAGCGTAGGCAGGTACGCACCTCGGCCCAGGAGCAGCACGAGACGCACGTCTCGCGGGACTTTGGGCCCAATAGGAAACCAGAGGCAAGCCCATGGGGACGAACGTCCTCAGAAGGCCCAAGACCACGGAATACCCTCCCGATTATCCAGTGGACGTACGTATCCTAGTGTAGGCAGGTACCTCGGCCCAGGAGCAGCACGAGACGCATGTTTCGCAGGACTTTGGGCCCAACAGGAAACCAAAGGCAAGCTGATGAGGACGAACGTTTTCCCTTTCATGATCGTGCCATTCCTACACTTCCACAAGCTCTACAACAATGTCATAATAGTGCCATTCCTCAACTGTCTCTGTCGCCAGTAGAAAGTGTTAGGTCCATGTTTCTATGCTATAGAAATATGAGAAATGGACTCAAAATAGGTAGATGAAGCCTTCCATTGATGAAGATGAAGTTTACAAAAGGATGAAGAAAATTTAGCGTAAAACTTTCGTGGGGGTTGCTCTCTGGGATGAGGTGGAATAATTCTGGAAAGGCTTACCTACTCCATTCCCATAAAGGCATATTTATTGTCTTGGAATGGGTAGGTCACAAATGATTGGACCCTTAAATCAAGGGAGCCCATATTTCACTTTTGCACACTATAGCTATTTTAGGCTATTCTACCCATATTTAATTTTACAAGAGGCTTAATCAATTACATCGGTCACAATTAAAAAATATCTCTAACCTTCTCCCCTTTCGTGATCAAATGTCCTTTGTAAGCTCTTATTCATTTTTGCCTCTTGTACTATTTCTTCCGCAGCTCTTATTGTTGTTGTTGTTATCATCATCATCATCATCACCAACATCATCATCATCATTATTAATATTATTATTATTGTTATTATTATTATTATTATTATTATCATCATCATCATCATCGTTATCATCATCATCATCATCATCATCATCATCATCATCGGCATCATCATCATCATCATCGTCATCATCATTGTCATCAACATTCTCATCATCATGATCATCATCATCATCATGATTATCATGATGATGATCATCATCATCGTCATCATTATTATCATCATAACCATCACCACCACCATCATCATCATCATTATTGTCATCATCATTATCGTCATCATCATCATTATCATCATTATCATCATCATCATCATCATCATCATTATCATCATCATTATTATCATCATCATTATCATCATCATCATCATCAGTTTCTACATATAATTAGAATCAGAATTAGAATTAGAATTATAACTGTAACAATAATCATAACTATAATTATAACAATAATTACAAGTATATTTTTTTTAAAAAAATAAAATTATAACTATAATTATAATTACAATCACTGGTATAATTTTAATTATAATTATCATTAGAATTATAGGTGTTCGGTTAATGGCCCAACAAAGGCCGGCCCATCAACCCCTAGGGACGTACGTAGCTCAGCATAGCCAAGCTCCAGGGCCCAATGGTTAAGGGACGTACGTAGCCCAGCATAGCCAAGCTTCAGGGCCCAGGGCCAGAGGACGTACGTAGCTGAGCATAGCAAAGCTTCAGAGCCCAAGGGCCAGGGGACGTACATAGCTCAGCATGACCAAGCTTCAGGGCCCAAGGGCCAGGGGACGAACGTAGCTCAACATAGCCAAGCTTCAGGGCCCAAGGACCAGGGGACGTACTGTTAGGAAATTGGTGTAACGTACCTCGAAAGTACGGCAGCGGAAGTTTAAAATTTTTCCAAACAGATCTTTCCTGATTATGACAAAACAACGAATATGATAATAATAACAGATTTAGAACTTACAGATCTTCCAGCCTAGCGGTGATAATCCTTGACCTTAGGTATCCACGTGATTTCTCCTCTCCGAAAGAACGATTAGATCTCCCTTTAGAGAAAGGCTAGGAAATCTCTTCGCAGGGAAATAAACTGGTAATACTGAATCTAAAATTCTACAATGAATTATGAAGGAGGGGTGTGTATTTATACTAGTTCTAAACTAGTTTTCTAATCACAATGAAAGTCTTTCTCATTAATGAGTTCTAGTCCTGCTAGGACCAATACTCCTAATTAATTAAATAATTAGATAAAACAAAACAAAATA